TTACCTTAAAATATTCTGAGACTATGTTGCTAGATGCATACACAGTCAGAATTATTATATTATCTTGGTGGGCTATTCCTTTTTTCATTATGTAGTTTACCAAAATATCCCTATTGATGTTGTTTTTGCCTTAAATTCTACTGTTTGACTCACTGCCACCCTCCTCCCCAACCCCCTTTTGCCAGGTGGAGCTGAAGACTCTCACCCATGGGAAAGGAGATGGCAGAATGTCTGCTTGACAGCTTTTGGACTGAGAAGGAAATAAGATTCTTTTTTTCTTTTTTCTAATTAAAAAAAGATTTTTAAAAATTTATTTAATTTATTTATTTTTGGCTGTGTTGGGTCCTCCTTGCTGCGCGTGGGCTTTCTCTACTTGTGGCAAGCGGGGGCTACTCTTCGTTGAGGTGTGCGGGCTTCTCATTGCAGTAGCTTCTCTTGTTGCGGAGCATGGGCTCCAGGCATGCGCAGGCTTCAGTATTTGTGGCACATGGGCTCAGTATTCGTGGATTGCGGGCTCTAGAGCGCAGGCTCAGTAGTTGTGGCACATGGGCTTAGCTGCTCCACAGCATGTGGGATCTTCCCAGACCAGGGCTCGAACCTGTGTCCCCTGCATTGGCAGGTGGATTCTTAACCACTGCGCCACCAGGGAAGCCCCAAGGATCTTTTGTAAAACAAAGGTTTTAAATTTTGATGAAGTCCAATTTATCTTTTTTTTTTTTCTACTGTGGATCATGCTTTTAGTGTCATGTATAAGAACTCTTCATCTAGCCCTCAGTCCCAAAGATGTTTTCCTTTGTTTTCTTCTAAAAGTTCTATGGTTTTACATTTTACATTTAAGTTGCAATTTCACTTTGAGTTAATTTTATACAAGGCATGTGGTTTAGGTTGTAGTTTATTTTTTTGGCTTATGGATGTCCAACTGCCCAGCATCATTTGTTGAAAAGTCTATCCTTGCACCACTTAATTTGTATGTGCTTTTAATACGAAGACTCATTCTTAACTGCCTTCAATTCCGGGAAATTCTCTGGCATTAGCTCTTCAAATATTGTTTCCCTGCTCTTCCCTCTATTCTTTGCTTCACATATGGGAGGCTCTCTATCTTTCCCCCATGTCTCTTAACTTACCTTTCCTTCTTTGTATCTCTTTGTATCTTTGTGTTGCATCCTGAGTTGAATTCATTAGTACTATCTTTCAATTCATTTCCTCTTTAACTGGGCCCAGTCTAAAGCTTATCCAACATACTTTTTTTTTTTTTAACTTTCATAACTGCATTTTATATTTCCAGAACTTTTAATTGGTTCTTTTCTAAATCCACCTCTTGATTCTCATCTGCTCAGTTTTGTTTCACAACTTCCTAGAAGTTTACCCATGGGTGTTATTCCTTCATCATTTTGATGAATTTAAATATGTTTATTTGAAATTTATTTTCAGATTGCTTTATTATAATTTTGTTGGGTGTGAATTTTTCTCCGGATTATTGTCTTTCTTTCTTAGTACTAGTTATACTGGTTTGCTCTGGAATTTTAATTTGCTAGCTCTTCTTGAATAGGAATGCTTCCTCTCTTTTTCTCTCTCCCTTTCTTCCTCTCTCACGCCTCCCTGTCTAATGCCACTGTCTTCCGTCTTCATCAAAGCAGAGGCCTCCAGTCTAGAGCCAGGTCTTACACTGGCAGCTCAGGGTTCCTATCCTTCGGTGATACTAGGGACACTAGGGATATCATAAACCCAGTCACATCGTGGCCAGGTCCTGGTCACACTGCTATCTTATTCCCCTGCCACCCCAGAAACAAAACTTGAAATGAGCCACAGACCCAGGCAGCTTTGTTCAGTTTCTTTTCATAGGCAGGACAATCCCACCCCAGCTCCTAGTTTCCAGCAGTGAGACTTCGTCTAGTCCCCATCCAGGCATGAAGTTCCTTTGGTCCCTATACCCTCAAGCAGTGTTTCCCACTTTTTTTGACATCTTGGGATACTTAGAAAATAACAGCATCTGTACGGCACACAGATAGATGGATGACTCTGTTCCGTACCCAGAAATGATGGCTGGAGGCTCTGACTACCCTCAGACCACCTAGTTGCCCTGAAGCCTGAGAAAAATCAGTATTTCACATACTGGTAAACTCATTCACAGCATGTTCCTTTAGAAGTAATGCTCTGAAAGAATCAACTCCCAGCACACTCTGCCTATTTCTGAACTTGGTTCTGTTCCTAGTCCACAGTTAACTGGTTATTAAAATACAAGTATAGGGCTTCCCTGGTGGCGCAGTGCTTGAGGGTCCGCCTGCCGATGCAGGGGACACGGGTTTGTGCCCCGGTCCGGGAGGATCCCACATGCCGCGGAGCGGCTGGGCCCATGGGCCATGGTCGCTGGGCCTGCGCGTCCGAAGCCTGTGCTCCGCAACGGGAGAGGCCGCGGTGGTGAGAGGCCTGCGTACCGCAAAAAATAAAAAATAAAAAAAAATACAAGTATGTCAACAACATACTCCATTTATCATTACTATGCATTTGAAGCAGAATATAGAATTTAAAGCATGAACTTAAAGGGTCATCATAACCACAAGTCCGTGCTTTTCCCTCTGTTTAGAGCACCCTCCTCTCAACTTCTCTGCATCACCTTTTCCTACTCCTTCAGGTTTCAGTTTAGATGTCGCTTAAGCAAGGTTGCTTTTCATGACTCCAGTCTCACCACCAAGTATGGGGTCAGAGCTTCTCAGGATTTTGCGTGCTACTGTATTGGATTATTATAGTATTGTATTATCATTGCCTAGTGTATTGTGTTATTATTGTCTATTATTATTACCTTTGACAATAACCTCCTTGATGGCATAAATTGCCTTTTTCACTCCTGTATTTCCAGATCTAGCACAGTGCCTGTACTAAGCATGAACTCAATAAATATTTTAATATCACCTATAACAGAGTTCCATGGTAAGGACTATAAAGTAATAGTGAAGAGTGGGGCTCCTGAGCCAGAAATTCCTGGGTTTAACAAATAACAAATGTTGACGAGGATGTGGAGAAAAGGGAACCCTCCTACACTGTTGGTGGGAATGTAAATTGGTGCAGCCACTGTGGAAAACAGTATGGAGGTTTCTCAAAAACCTAAAAATAGAACTACCATATGATTCAGCAATTCCACTCCTGGGTATATATCCGAAAAATAACAAAACACTAATTCGAAAAGATACATGTGCTCCAGTGTTCAAAGCAGCACAATTTACACCTACCAAGACATGGATACAACTTAAGTGTCCATCAACAGATGAATGAATAAAGAAGATGTGGTATATATATGCACAATGGAATACTACTCAGCCATAAAAAAGAGTAAAATTGTGCCGCTGGCAGCAACATGGATGGATTTGGAGGGCATTATGCTAAGTGAAATAAGTCAGAGAAAGACAAATACTATATGCTATCACTTATACGTGGAATCTAAAAACTACAACAAACTAGTGAATAAAGCAAAAAAGAAGCAAACTTACAGATATAGAGAAAAAACGTTATCAGTGGGGAGAGGGAAGGAGGGGCAATATAGGGGAAGGGAGAAAAAAGGGATATGGAATTATATGAAATCACGTGTGTGAAACTTTTGGAAATTGTAAAGCACTACAGAAGTTAAATAATCGTTCATTCAATTAAAAAGAAAATCCTGGGATTAAATACCAGTTCTACCACTTACTGTGTAATTTAGAAAAGTTACTTAGCCTCTCTACACTTTAGTTTCCTCATCTGTAAAATGTATGTCACAGTTCAACTCCTATTACTTGCTGTGTAACCCTGGGCAAGCTCCTTTGCCTCTCTTGGTTTTGGTTCCTGCATCAAGCAGTGTTCTAAGGATTAACTCAGACAACATACATCAGGTAACTAGCACTTGCTTGCTTCCACTTCACGCTGAAAAGGGACAACACCATAGCTCAGCCTTGAGCACAGCTGCAGACTCAACCCTTTTCTGAGCCTACATGGTATCCTGGTTGAAAAGGCTTTCTATTGTCATAGGAGCAATAAGGATTATCTTCATATCCACAATTTTTTCAGGCAAAGTGGAGGGCAATGTCAATGAGAACCTGAAAGAATAATTTTAAGTACAAATTTAATGTACCTAAAGGAAACACACACACACACATCTAACAGACTGGACCATTCTAACTCAAAATGTGAGAAGAGAAAGCCTCCATGAGAATCCATTTCCAAAATGAAGGCATCCACTACATTTAGCTGTATCCCAAACCCTACTGCTGGGAAGGGCACATAAAACTAGGAAAGGATGCCTGTCAGGTAAGAAATTCAAATATGGGAGAACTAATGCAGCAAACCACTTTAAAGTTCAAGTTATGATGTACAGATATAGAGATTCTACTTTCAAGACTACGTTTTTAATATAATAGTTTAATGAGGAATAGAGTCTAGTAATTGAGAGAAAAATTGATCACTGACTGATAACAAAGAAAACTGTAATTCAGACCAAAAGGAAATAAAGTAATAATCTTGGCATCAAGCAGACTGGAAAACAAATTCTGACTCTGTCATCTCCCACTGGTGTAAACTTCAGCAAATAACAACTCTCTGATCCTGAGCTTCCTCCTCTGCAAAATGAGGATCATGATGCTCACCTCACAGGAAGCGGGAGAATTAAATGAGAAATCAGGTATGAAGTGCCCAGCACCATGCCCAACTCATGACTGGTGCTCAACAAACACTAGTTCCCTCCACTACTGCCCATGCTCCTTTTATCAGCAAGCATCATAAAAGGGTTTGGATCCTGCTAAAATGCATTTCCTCATGTCTGGATTCACAAATTTATCAGTCTGTTTGCAAGCAAACTCTCTGAGATAAGCCTGAGTTACACAGGCCCAAGATCTGGTGAGCAACCTGACCTGGATCAGTGTGGACGTCTGGCTCCCAGGCCAAAGCCTAGAAAGACTGACCGGGCCCAGAATGCAGCATGGGTGGCCAGGAGACAGCCAGAGACTAGAGCAGCCAAAAAGAGGGAGGATTACTTGAGCTTCGGCTCCCGTCCTTCGCTTGTGTACTGCCAACAGATGAGCCCGATCAGATCCTGTACCCTGGCGCTGGCCATTGTCACCACGGTCATTGGCAGCAGTCTGTCCTGGCTTGAGTGCAGGGGGAGGTAGACATCGATCTTCTTGGTTGCTGTTGTGCCTACATGACCCTGTGGACAGAGCACATGCATGAGGGTAAAGCACACAGTTCCGGTCATGCAGACCCTACTGAGCTACAACGACTGCCCTCCAGGGCCTGTGTTCTCATCCTTTTCGCACAGGGCCTGTGTTCTCATCCCTTTTGCACATACCAGCGTATGAGCCTGGGGTGGTCCCAAAGTGGAAACATTGTCTAGTTTTAAGGGTTTTTTTTCTTCTTCTTTAATTTTAATTTTCTAATGTTCTAATGGATCCAGCTCTGCCAGCAGTAAGGTAAATGAGCACTACGACTAAAATAAACAAATCAGAGTGGTGAGCAGACCTAACGTTTGGTATCAGGAGATTTGCTTTGTTACTTATTCAGTGTGACCTTGGAAAAGTCATCATCAGACCTTGGCATAAACTGCCCTCCCTGAAAACTGCCATATCACTCCTTGAGACCTTGGGATAAGCTGCCATATTCTCCAAGGAAGCATTTAGCAGTACTGGAACCAGGGGCTTGCCTTCTCAGAGACGATGGGGGGCTAATTCCATTACGCAGTACATCTGTTACTTCACTCATCTGAACTGAAGTTCAAGGGTCTCTGGTCTTATTACTGTCCTAATAACCATACTCACACTGATCTACATGTCCCTAATCTCTCCCACACACCCCTTTCTCCTCCCTCCCAAACCCTCCACTCTCCTCTGGAACTCCTGCACTAATCAGCAAACTTCCATACATCATTTCTTTTTTTTTTTTTTGCCGTACGCGGGCCTCTCACTGTTGTGGCCTCCCCCGTTGCGGAGCACAGGCTCCGGACGCGCAGGCTCAGCGGCCATGGCTCACAGGCCCAGCCACTCCGCAGCATGTGGGATCTTCCTGGACCGGGGCACGAACCCGTGTCCCCTGCATTGGCAGGCAGACTCTCAACCACTGCGCCACCAGGGAAGCCCCATCATTACTTCTTTTTAAAAAACATTCCCTCCACCTTTTTGCCTTAATTGAAACCTGCTGATCATAAGGATACTACTTCCTCTGCTGTCCAGAAGACTGTTTTGCTTTGTTCTTTTTAACCCCCAAATCCTTAAGGCCAGGAGGTGGAGTAGGTATTCTTGTTCCTGCTACTTCCAAACTATTAATTCTCCTTTCTTACAAAAACCCCTGTTCCTTTGAGACCCAAGCCATCCAACTACACCATCCTCTCCCTCTCCTTTTCTGTTACCCACCACCCGTTCTTTGGTCATTCTCCTCCCTCACTGAAGGCCTGAGCTCTTGGCTCATAGTCTTTTCCACCCCAATTCCTGTCACCATTCCTGGCAATTTCATCTAAAAGAACAATCTGTCCAATACGCAAGTGTCTCAATCCCTAGACCACATCATCCCCAGTGCCTTTTCATCCACCACCTCAAATCACTTATTGTGGTGGGTACACCAGAGATCTGCACTAACTCCAAAATCTCAAGTTAGAACATCCACTCACTGAATACACTTTTTTTTGTAACTTTACTTTTGTTTATTTATTTTTAAATTTTGGCTGCACCATGCGGCTTGCAGGATCTCAGTTCCTGGACCAGGGATTGAACCCGGGCCATGGCAGTCAAAGCGCCGAATCCTAACCACTAGACCACAGGGTTAAAATCTGAATACACTTCAATATACCTCTACTTCATCTGTTCAAGTAGTCCCTCAAATTCTCCAACCTATAATCTGTTGAACCACCACCTTTTAATTATCTTTCAGTCACCCTTATTTCCCAATACCACCCTCCAGATTACATGAGCCATTATAATCGTTCCTTTGCAAATACAGTTTTTATACTCTCTTCCTCCACTGGACACAATTCACAGAACCCCAATCTTGTATGAACCCAACCCTCTGCATTGCCCAGCTAAACATCACTGGAGAAAAATCATGTAACTGTACAGATTGATTTTACTTTAAATTCATGATGATAAACCTCAAACAGACACTCAACACTGTATAGCAAGCCTATTATATCTCTTGATCCAACCTGCACCCCACCTGAGACCACTAGCGCATACTTTTGCTTCTCTCCTCAAACTTCCCATGAACCTCACCTCTTGACCTTCAGCTCCTGTCCTTCCCTCGTGTATTGCCAACAGATGAAAAATACTGTGGACCCTTGAACAACACAGGTTTGAACTGCGAGGGTGCACTTCCACGTGAATTTTTTTCACTTGATATGGGCTACAGTACTATAGGATCCACAGTTTGTTGAATCTGTGGATACCAAACTGCAGCATCAAATTTGATCATGTTACACTCCTGTTGAAATTCCTTCAGTGAGTGGCTCCTATGATACTTTGAATAAAATCCAAATTCCATGCAGTGTGCAACAAAGTGCTGCGTGATCTGACCCCTGCCTAGCCCTCCAACATCATCTACTGCCACTCTCCCCCCACCCCCCAACCCCGTGCTTCAGCTACACCAGCCTTCTAGAAGTGCCCTGAATGTGTGTACCTTGCCTGCTTCTTCCCCTTTTAAGGCCATAGCAAGTGCTACTGCTAGATTCACGTATCTAGAAGGCTCTTTCTCATGATTTTTGCATCCTCTATTATGTGGCCTTGGGCAGATTACTTAACTCTCTGCTCTTCCATGTCCTCATACATAAAATGATAATAATAGGACGTGCTATCTATCAGAGGACTGACTCTTGTGAGGATTATTATTATTGTTGTTATTCAAGGCTGAGCTCATATGACCCCTCCTCAGAGAAACCTCCACTGATAATCCTATAGAAAGAAGACCCTTCCACAGTTATCCTCTCACACATATGCTGTTCATTTCCTTCGGAGCACTTAACAATTTGATATTATATATTTATTTATGTACATCTTCAGTGTATGCCTTCCCCACTAGCCTCTGAGCTTCCATGAGGGGAATCATAATAACGTCTGCTTTGTTTACTGCTCTATACACAATGGCTAGCACTGTGCCTTGCGCACAGAAGACTCTCCAAAAAAAATCTGTTGAACTACAGAATGAATGCATGAATGAGTCAAATGCCTACTGGGACACATGGTAGGAACTCAATAAATGTTAGTTTCTTCCATCCATCTCACTTGCCCTTTTCTATGGGTCTGTTTCCTGATAGCAGATGGAGATGGAGGGACTTGAGCAATCAAGTGGTTCCTTAACACTCTATACAGAATTCTATCGATCTAATAAGGTGGGAAAAAAATATCAGAACTAGGGTAAGGAAATACATAAAATCAGTTTAAAAAACATTTTTAGAGAGATTCCACTTCTCAAATAACCCAGCATCTAATATTAGATCCACTGGGGTTTTTTTCTGTTTTTTTTTTTTTTACTGAGTTGTCTACGTTATAAAGCAAATAATAAAAAAGTAATTCTCCTACATAATGCTCTCTCCCTATCCCTCTCACGCATCCACATGCGTGCGCACGCACACACACACACACACACACGAGCACGTGCGCGTGTATTTTTCAGCTTGGAAGTAGTAACTCCAAGGACTAGAAAAGATGTCTCTAAACAGCTAGTGTTTTGATCCTGTCAGGCAGTCAAAAGGTTAAAATTAAAACAGTGGCAATCTTTCTGGAGTGGGTTTATAGCCCTCTTACCACTCTCTTCTCAACCTCATTTTCAGAACCCCTAATTGCTGTCACTGCTCTCCTTATTTCTGTTTATTCCTCCTCCTTCTTCTGAAGAACTGGAGCTAAGGGGCTATAGGAATCACAATATCTAAAGATACAAAGATTCAATGAAATGACAAATGTGAATGTACTTTGCAAACTATAAAGTGCTTTAGAAATGCAGCACAGTACATTAGAAAGGACCTAAGTTTTATAATCAGACCCATTTCTATTACTCAAGTCTATTACAAGGTCACATGAGGCCAAAGATGGATGCTATAGGAGCCCTAATAATAATACCTATTATTATAACAAAAACTAGCATTTATTTAGAGCTAAATAAACTCTGCTAAACGTTTGCCTAAGTTATCTCATTTAATTTTCACAATCACTATAAGAGGGAGGGTTCTATCATTACCCTCATAATAAAAATGATAAAACTAAAGCTTATAAGACTACAGTCATCTGCTCAAGATCTCATAACCAAAGTGAAGAGCCGGGACTCAAAGCCATGTCTGTCTGACTCAAAGGCCTCTACTTTAAACATCAACACCTTCTTTCACTAAAGTTATCCTAAATATAATCAATTCCCACTCTCCAAGGCTTGAAAATCATCTCCCCCTCCTTCTCACAAACATGCCAACAGCACTGCCTAAAGCAGTCTCCTACAGAAGGAGCACTCTGAGGGGCTGCCCAAGGAGAACCGGTAAGGATTGAGACTCCAGAGATCATTGCCACTGTCAGCTGACTGCAGGCAAGTCACCACTGTTTAGGAAATGAAAGCAGATAGTTATATGGTACTCCTACGCATCCCTTTACCCTCTTCATTTCATAGTGAAATAGCAAGTGTGGGGAAAACTGTGAGAATAAATATGGCAGATACTTATTAAATGAATGAAGCATTTTATTTTTTTAATCTTCTAATTCCATCTTGAGGCACTGATGACAGGAGAAAAGTGCCTTGCACAAACCTTGAAATTATATATTTTTTAATAAGGAGCCTCTTCTGAAAAAACTCAAAAGGTGGTGGCAGTTAGCTCTATCTAATAGTCCCTGTGTTGCAATATTTAGAGAGAATCATCTAAAACATAAAACAATCCATCAATATAATAGAAAGTAATTAACTTATTAAAAAAAAAGTGACCAAAGAATTAAAAGTATTCATCACACATCAAGGCAAGCAATATTCCAAAGAGTAACATCTAACTATTAAAAAGCAACCAGCAATAAACAAAGATCATATACAGATTCACTGCATGGCAATTTATGTGTTCCACAGGATTGGGGAAATGGAGGCATAATTAGAGCACAAGGAAAGGGTCACCACAGAGACAGGGAAAACTGGTTTAGCTCCATCTTTCCCAATCACTCATGCATTCAACAAACACCCACTGAAACACCATATTGGGCT